CACTTCTTGCATCAGACTCAACGAGCAGTTCGTTCATTCCTTTATTGTTCATCTCCAAGTCAATAGCGAATTGAAAAATGAATGCCCAAGGCAGTAGTCCAGCAGTGGTTTAGTGCATACGATTCAAGTATTTCGATGTTGGCTATTTGTGGCTGAATTCTTCTCATTCCACTTGTTTTTATTGACCGCAAAATCGTTGTATTCCGTTGATGTGGTGAACTCACGAATCCACCTCAAATAATTCCAACTTGAAGTTTTGCCTTCCGATGCCCTGAAATTGAATACTTATCATCGATTATCTGAGCCGTTTTCTCTGTGATGGGTCGGAGTGATTCTTTTTTTCTGAAGTCATCCGATATTTTGACAAGTGCACTGATAAGAAAGTCGGATGATACCTAATTGAACACCATTACCCATCCTGATGATCGTTACTTCCTTGATTGGCTACTCTCTATCGATTCCATATTCACTCTTTTCGTCACCTTCGAGCTTACGAATTCCACTCTTCGTTGTCAATCTTTACTTCGATTAACGGCGAAATTCTTTGCCGAATCTAATTCGTCATTCGATTTCGATTCAATATGAAAGTTCATCAGCGAGGAACCTCAGATATTCAAGGCGCTATGAATCTATTTGGTTCGTTTATTATTTTGTTTCTTTCTTTCTTCCACGAAAATCGTTAATGATTCTCACAACGTCACCAATGTCAAACGACAAGATGTGTTCGAATAAATTGATTGTTATGCTCAGTGCTCGCACTAAACTTTTGAACTGTAAGTAGCGAGTAGTTGATTGCTGAAGATGATGAATTCGTTTTGGATAATTTGATGAATTGCTATCATTTGTCTTATGCAAACTGTTTGAAAAACGGTCAATCATTACTTCAGACCATTCTTCAGAGTTTAAAATGTTCTTTCACGCAATCGTACCGGCAAACTCGTTCGTTATTCTGACGAAACGACGTCAAGTTGCTCGTAAATAAAGTGAGAAAAATCATAAATTCAAACAATACATTATGCGAAGATCTGGCGGAAAATTAGAATTTCTGAAACGTTTTCGACACTCGCTGCTGACTCAGAGACCACTTCCGATTTATACGTTTACTGATTGTTAGCTCATACCCATATATACTTAACTACTGGAATGTCAGAGTATCATTTGCAGCAATAATGATTAAATTTCTTATCATTCTTATCTTATCATCGTGATGATAGTTAGTTCCGTTTCCGATCAGCAGTTATCGTTTCGTATAACGGAAATGATTTAGTTACAAAATGTTATTCTATCATTTCATTTCGTGTTGTGAATTGTGAAGCAAAACTGTCCCATTTGGTCTAAAATCAATTGTCGTCGTCTTTAAATGACTTGTCAAAAACTTATTAAATACTTATGAAGCAGAGAAGCTGTTTTCAAGCTTCATGAGCTGATGCTGTTAGCGTGCGAGTATTGAATTGATTTATTAGCAGGTGTATTTTCGAGCGCTACTCGACGGTTTAATAACGCAAACGAATGCTCGAAATGAGCACATAAGAATCTATGCAGTAGAACAAATTGAAGCCTCGAAAAATCTGGCAAGTAAACTTTCAGATCCGATCAGAGAATATCCACTTGATGATTGTTGTGCAACGATGCATATAGTTCAATTTGCATTTCATTATGGCACGAAAAAGTGATTTGTGCATAATGATGAATATTGCTGATGACTTTGTTGTTATTGCTGATTGCAAGTCAACTAAGAAATAGATTAACGGCAACATGGTGAGGTTTTAGTTCATAGCTTGGTTTGTTAAAAATAAAGTATTAAGTAGTAAGTGAAAACGGAATGAGTGAAGGGAAGGAATATTGCTGTTGGATTGATGGGTAATTTGAAGATTTACATTTGAAGTTTTGAGAGTGTTGCGTGGAGTTTGATGGATAACAGATGACAACATAAGTGATTTATTGGATAAAATATGTTTGTTTTGTTGTGTTTTGGAAGAAGTCGCAGTTGTGAGCACCTAACGATTCGGTGCATCTGAATACCTCAATAATAAGTGATTCGATTCTGCGTTTGCCTTAATAATTGAAAACTCTTAACTTTTCTGCACAAAATAACTGCATATATTCATTTACGCGCATAGATTATCTCCAAGCTTTCATTATACGATTGCTTTTATAAACCATATTCTTACAATTAGTAATTTTCATTTATTCTCTTTCTCGTCAACTCTATTACGCAACGATTTCTGTGCATCTTTAAATAGCTACATAAACTCCATGTGATTAGCCATTAATTTATTATCACATTATCGCAACAGCTCAATAAATCCATCAAAAGCTAGGTAAGTATAACAAGGTCGAAGTTGTGTTACGTGTACCTTTGGAACGGGATATGGCCATTTGTGGTGTCAAAACATCTGTTTCTATAGATTTGATATGTGCATCTAATATCTGTCATGCAAACGTCACATAAATAAGATTTTAATGGTGTTAGAGCGAAGACCAACACCGCCCACAAATCTTCTTCCTCATTACCTTACCTCAATTTCATCTTCCACCTTATAACTCAACTCGTTCTTCTCAATCGGTCATCATTTTAACGATCCATCTTTTCCTATCTCCGTTGTTTTTTCGAATTTTATGTATCATCAACCAGCCACCACACAACCAATTTCTAATTCTATCTCTTTTTGCATCCTTTGCTTCTTTCATTTTGTTTCGATCATAGCAAATGAATTGTACAACAAAGAATTTTGATTGCTATATGTCGAAATATGAGCTTTTGGAGTGATATTCATAAGAAGGGTGGAAAATACTTTCGGATTGGAAATTTCAATAAATGAAGATATTCAGTTTCAGTTTCTTCTCCTTTGAGTATTCTTGTTTCAAGATGCTTCACGTTTACGAATGACAAAGATCTTCTTCGTCCACGGAGAAGACACTGTTTTTTGATGGATATGTCCGTAATGGGTGTAACAAAGCAGTGAACGAATATTCCCAAATGCATCAACCGAAACGATCGTTGATCGATCAGATTTGATCACACTCAATCGCATTTGATTGAAGTGTGCAATTGCTGAATTTCCAAAAAAATTCATTCGCATGAAGTTTTTGACGTAATTCGTTATGTCACTTAATCTCCAACTGCGTTCCTGAAAGGTAACAATAAAAATATGATGACTAAAGTAGGTGACCTGTTTCTTGCAAATGAACAAGCCTGAGTTGATTTTTGATTCCCTTATTTTGATCTATTGTAGGTTCGGAAAAACGCTGCTCCATTCCGTTGAAGAGTACACTATTGAAGCTATCTAATTATAAGATTCCTGAAAATCTCATTGCTCCATAAAATGCTGGCAATTGCGAATTATTTAAGTTTCATGTTGTCTGCTCCCCCATTCGACATCTCATTTTCACCTGGAATTCAGCAAACCCTGTTTTATGGTGCCCAAACCAGTGGCCCTTTCAACCGCAAATTTCCAGATCTGTCCATCAATTCAGTGGTGCATTTTATCGATAGTCACCATTCATGAGTGGTCCTTCCAACCCTACAATTATACAGTAATTATGTGGCGTATGACCAACGGAACTGTAACGAAACATGCTGTAAAACGGATGATATAGATGTGGATTGAAATCTTATATGAAACATTGTAATCGGAGACAATACTGTGGAGAGCAGTAGTAATAATGCCATTGTTATTTGAAGTAGTTCCCGTAATAATAATAGTACTGATATGCCAAGTGAAAGTAATATGTAGTATTGATAATGTTTTACGCAGTAGTACACCACATGCAGCTGTTGATTGATGCACTTTTTTCCATACTATTATAAATTTATTCATCACAGTTGGACAGTTTCGTAATTCGATATCCGCTTTGCACTGCGCAAATTTAATGTCACTCATAAACTTTACGCAATTCGGCATTATTTCATTCGATTATTCGTCGCTTAATTCAATTTTTGCTCACACACTTCTCATTATCAGAATTCCGTTTCCAATTTGTGTTGAAAAGAGCTATTCAAAAACCATTTTCGCTGCTTCCTTTATAGCTAAACTTCGACTCACACTTGAAAAATAAGATGATTAGATTATGCTTGTGACCATCAAAGCATCAAAACGGGACCAATATTGATATCGACCGAAACTCATATGTATATATGTATTCCTCACATATTTCAAATCAACAACATTCAAAAATACAATAGCGCTTATCGAAACAGTTATGAAGCAGTCCACTGCAAACGTCAAGGACACAATGCTTTAACGCATCGTTGATCATCGAAACAGCCTAATACGATCATATAAATTCACATCATTCATCGTATTTGCATATAATACATGTAATAAAAGTTTTTGAATGCGTGATTCAAATTGTATAAAGTTCAAAACGGGTAGATGAAATACTTTCGACTTAATGTCAAAATGCATCAATCTGGAACTTTGTTTCCGATTTTCCGTTAACGACGAATATTGAGCAGTGTTGCATGAACTGAGGTGGACATACTCGAATTGAGGAAGTTACACGGAAGCGATATGATTGCAACATTATCCTCCAGAAACATTTAAATGTTATAGAAGATTCACTTAAAAGAAGCACTAAACATATTTGATTTTCAAGTTGTAATGATTATAAAACTGATCGAAGCAATTCTGCGATAGTATTCCTTTGCTAATCTGCAATTAATTCTGCAATATTCGTGAAATGATATTTGCTCATTTCATTCGCAAAACCCTTTCCTCGTGCAAATCGTTCTCTCGTCAGCAGTTCAATATTCCTGCATCATTCAGCAATTACTCATCCAGAGCGAATCCTCAGAGATCTTTTATTATCGAAGCGCACGTGTGAAATTGATGTCGGAAAATTGCGTTGAAATTGTTATCGTTGAATGGAAGAGCACACATTAAACTAACATTATAACCGATCGCATTGAGACATCATCCATTTTTCAACCGTATCTATCAACTGTAATGTCTTATGAAATCGTGAGACATATATTCGCACAGATACTTTGAACAAAAATGACATTGAATCATGATGTTCTGAGGAATCTATCGTTGACAATACACCTCAATGAGACTGAATACGTGTGTATGTGTGTGGTATGAGATTAAAGCCTTCATAGCAGATTGTTGTGTTGAAACTTGTTGATTCAAATGCCATTTCTGAACAAAATTTGAGTCAAATCAATCGATTTTACGACTAGACGATTATTTGATTTTATGGTTGATTTCAGATTTTCTAAATATACCACCGCCAAGCTGCCCACCACCACCGCAGTCTTCAACAATCCCAACATCGGCCACGAAGTCCGAGATGCGAGGTCCTCCACCTCAGTGGAATCCTCCCCTGCCACCATCCCTGATTAACAAATCAACCTCACCCGAAGCTGAAGAGTCACAGTATGAAGAGGCTGAAGTGTCGGATGATCAACCGGTACATCATCATGATCATGAAAGTGAGTAAATGTCATTGCTACTGAAAGGATTCTCAAAATTTGCAAAATTCTATCGAAGTGTTCGACTTCAAGCTATTATGAAATGGAGTCTGCATCGCAGTTAAGATCACTTCTGGTTTTTATGACTAGAAGGATATGTTGTTGATTTGCTCGTGAAATGTCATCTCTTATCGACATAAGAAGGTTTCTCCTCACCACTATGCAGATTACGTCCTTAATCCAGCGACAATCCCATTTCCAATCAAAATTTTCTCCACATTTCAAGTGGTTTGTTTGTTAAGTCAAATTCAGTGTTAATCGATCACGTTCGAGCTGTTCAAAAGCAGCAAAACTGATGCTGTTTTGACGTATTAAACACTTGACGGATTGTAGTAATGGTGTGGTTATGATTTTTTGGTTATGACTGATTGTAAGTAATTCATAATAGAAGCAAACATTATTTGGTTTGTTGTCAAACAAACATTCGTGTAGGGAAAAAAGCGCAATGAACTTGATAGTGATTTAAGTGAGATGTCAGATGAAATTTGGATAATCACGTCGCATTTCAAAGCGATTCCTTTTTGTCCCGATAAAAACACAGTTCGAGTAAATACGCAGACGTACGCGTGTTCACCTCAAGAAGTTATTTATTTGGCTGTTTATATTGTTAATCAATCTTCAAACTTGATTTGCATACACATTATATGTGTAAAGAAGCACATCCGGTGCAATATTTTTCACGAATAATGCTGTAATAATGATGGTAGAAAACGAGGCAGAATTTATAATAATAATGATAAATTATTATTGTATTGTTCAGAAACAATTTCGTATTGCGCACAATAAACATTTTCTCAATTAGATGTTCCATCCACTTTCGCTCATTTATGAGTGAAAACTTGAGTTACGTGTTTTGCTGAATTCTTTTTGTTCATTCAACTAGTGCAATGGGGAAGTTTCAATTCATGTGAAGATTTGCGCAATGTATTTGGGATTAAATAGAATTTTTTAATGATTGATAGCAGATTCCATAGTCTATTATGATTATCATGTGTTGTGTGCATATGAACTTGTGTAACTATTCAATGTTTAGATTCGTTCAACGGTGCGATTCCAATAGCGAATATAAGCGGTGGAAACGCTTCGATTGCCAGTCGAACAACAGTACCGCCGCCATTCGGGGTAATGAGTAATAATTACGAAATATCAACCTCACAACAGGTTAGCACAACCGTAAAACTGTTGTGTGGGGTATGGCTCATTTGTCGTTTTCAAAAAAAATGTTTTCTAATCACATGAATTTGATTCATTTTATTGCCATTTCCATGCAATACTCATGGATTATGTTTTTGTGTTAGTTGTCACTTAAAATTGAACGTTTTTGAATCTTTTTTTGAGATTTTAGCAAGCAGCATAAAAAGTGAGCAGTCTCTCGTCATCCATCAGCATTTGCATAGCACAGAAGTAAAAAGCGGCCTTTGAAATCGCTTGAGTTTAGCTCTTTTGAGCTTAAAGTGCTCAAATTAAAGCTCTCTTAAGAAAGCATCATCATCGTCATCATTGTGCTGAAAATAGAAAAATGCTTGTGAGGAAATGGTAAACGTTTATTTGTGTATGTATTTATAAGAAAGAAATGACATGTTTGATGTCATTTCTTCCATATAAATACACAGATAAATGCGTCATTCACTGAGTTCGATGCATTCCACTTTAGTTTCTCAACGATATTCTGTTCGAATCCACGAAGAAACGAGTCAATTTCCGTTGCACAGTTTCAGCACTTTGCCCTCTTCCGTTTCGCACAATAGATTCAATCAATTGTTATTGTTGTTCATTGCGTGTCTTCGAAGAATGTCAGCTTATTCGGAGTTTGACTTCTCTTTTTTTGGATTTAACACTTAGCCTTATTGTGATTGCCTGAGGAAGCAAGCAAACGATTAGAGCATTGAGTTGGAGTAGAAAATTAGTTGTTCACTCAATGAATGAATACATTTTTTGATTTGATTCTGCTATAAGAAATAGAATTTCTGAAGAAGTATTTTCGATATTTCTTATAATGCGGTGAATAGAAAAATGAGTGTTCTTAACTCTTTTGCGTAATACACGACTTAAGAACACTCATTTCTAGATCGAAGCGACATTTATGACTCTTTTTAACATTTAGTCATGAATTTCAGTTGAAGAAGATGTTGTAGTTGAAAGGATGATGTGTGATGCGTTGTAGTGTTTCAACGATAAACCAGTGAAATTTCAGCGAAATACGGCTGCGCGAGCTGCACGACTGGAGGCACCACGTGATCGAAACTCGTCACCGTGGGACGATGAAACAAGACAAATGCTCGTTCAAAATCCAGAGACCGGAAGTTTTTATGTGCCCACTGGATCAGGTAAATCGTTTGATTTGTTCACTCCATTCAAAGAGAAATCCTCCTGAAGCGACAATAGCCCCAATCATCACTCCTTAATAAATGCTTCGATCATCAGTTCCGATCGAATTATTCCAACATATCTAGCACGCGCAAATACTGATTGATTGCGAGTTGGTGGGATACTGTTGATCATTCTCGACGAGAACAAGCACAATTGACACAGTAATATGTCATTATGAGCAAACATTTTCGGTATGTTTGTTAAGCAAACATTATAAACTGATGCACTTAGTGCAAATGGCCAATGGTTATTGTTGACGTTGTAGTTGTTGTACGAAGTCCAAAAATAGTGGTCAGCAAAGGCAAGAAGTGGATCAGTTAAGCTGTTTGTATATTTCGGATTACATTGACTGGGATTGCATATGCGGCCAAGATATCTTAGAAGTTGGGATAAGGATAATCCACAAACAGACAGACAGAAACTTATTCGGTTTCGTGTTTTAGAATACAGATGTATATCCTCGCTTGTATATGTTAATGTTTACTTTTGTGATTATTGATGGTTATTGGATGAAATAGGAGAAAGTGATGTGACAAGTGTTTACTGGGTTTTGATTATTACTTGTTTTTGTGAGCACTGACTTTCTTTTCGTACAAATCTGACAAGAACGATGAAATGATCTCGATTAGATTGTTGTGCTGAACTGAATGTTAAAAGCAAAAAGCAGGATGAATGAGGTTATATGATTCTGAAGGAAGCATACTCACAGGCTCACAGTTCTGAGAACATCATGCAGATCCACAACAAAAAGTTATCGGTTGAACTATGGGTGTGTACGCTTATGTGATTTTCTCGAGACGACATTCGAAATTTTCATTCTTAACTCATTTTCGCATTTCATCGACCAGAATCGTTTTGATTCCCTCATTCAGTTTCCTATAAAAAATCTTTTCCATCAAACCTTTTCAAGGTCCTCCAAAGGAATTCCGTAGAAGAATATGTGATTGTGTGTGATTTTGAGGAAAACGTTTGGTATTTCTTTGCCCAAACTTTTGAAAAAAGAACATTCATGTAATTCATGCAAGAGAAATACTTGTGATTAATTTGCTATTTACAAATGCATTTTGTTCCGTTTTATTGAATCAATTCTTTAAGTGGTTTTCAATTCCCTCACTGACAAAAAGCGCCATTCTCACGTAGAAGATGAATGACAAACCGACTTTCATAATTTCAATCAAGTTTTATGACTTGTCCGAATAATTTTTTGTTCCTTCGAATAGCTGATCAAGTTTAATGACTAAATCGAGCTGTTTAAAGTGAATACCAACTGGTTCAGCACCAAAATTCAGTTTCTAATTGAAATTCCATAAGAATATATTGAGGGCTCTGTACTGTTCAGGAGGGTGTCTATCTTTGAAAGCTGAAATCGCACAAGCTAATGTAAACGCGCGCTAACTGTAAATTTATCCTATTATTATTTAATTATCCCATTATTTGCGAGTGTAAATGCAATAATTCAATTCTCGTAAGTTCATTAAGTCATCGTAAAAGGCTGTAACCTTTATGATTCGTTCATGAACGAAACCGAAGAATATGACAATATCTCAGTGCGATATCATAGTTCTTGTCCATTCGCTTCAACGCTTTATACATACCCACAACTAAGTATTAAACAAGCAAATGGATATAAATTCACACATCTGCCAGCGGTCTTTTGATGTTAAATCCAATTAAGTGTTCACTGTTACTGGTATTACTGGCATGTCATAAATTATCGTTGATTCACTCAACGCCTCCTTCAGAATTGGAATTTCAAACGAATCTGAAGATTGGGTGAAATTCTCACTGATAATGACATTTGCGTAACGTTCAAGCACGATTATTATGTGAAATGAAGTCTTACATATAGAAACTTCTTAAACAATAATATTTCGTGTCACAGATTGCAATCTTCAAATAACATATTTTCTTATATTTGCATATGAAAATGAGCACCATTTTTTTGAAAAATGTCGAGTACTACCTTCTCTAGCTTTTAATACTCGAAGGATCTAATCTTACTATTGGTTAATCCTCATCGAGTGCTCTCTTATAAACTTTGGTATAAGAACCTTCCTTGATATGGTCGCTTCGGAACCAGTTGTTGTTGATGTATATTTTTGCTATACTCAGCCTCTGCTACGTGAAATCGTACGCTATATAAGCAGAACATGTTTCAAGAATAGCTCTATGAACGATTATAGGAAATTTCTATATTTGCAGTGAGACTTAGGAAAAATAAATCTTGAGGTGTGTAAAATATTGATTACACTTATACAAAAATAATCACACATGACAGATGAGAAGTTGGTGTTTATTTAAGATGAGGTCGGAAAATGGAATGAAAAGTAATCATTCATTTATAGGGCACATTTTTTTTGACGAGGGATTTGAATTTCAAGAACTCATTCCAATTCAGTATAATTAGATGGACGGAAGTAATTTTCATGAACGGAACTGAGCAATAAGCATGTGAACGTGTTTGTTGGAAGAGTATTGGTTGAATTAAAAGCGAATTTTTGAAGACTTAGCAAATAATGGATTGAATTTCGTTTAATCTTCAAAAGCAACTATTGGGAATGCGAATAAAGTTCATATCTGTTGTTTCGACTGAAAAATGCCTCAGATCATCTATGTTCAGTGTTTGCATATGCATATATTTATTATAATTGCATTATTTTCGGAATATCTTGACTTAATTGAGATAGAATTCAACATGGAGCAGTGCTTAATTCTGAATTGAGCTTTCCTTTTTCAAATAATACTATGAAATTTCTAATTTACTCATAAGTTATCATAAAATTACTGTCAATAGCACAAGAAGTGCTCAAAGATTCCATTTTTTTCTTAACTTTTCTAAATTTTCCCAAAAAAGCACAAAAAAATTCCGAATTAGAATATTCCATAACGCTCTTTTCCTCATTTTGCAGATATTATCGAGTTTCGATTATATAGCTAATAATATGGGTTTATGTTCGGATAAGAATTAACACAATGATAATGATATCTGCGTTATGCATTTATGGAATATATTTTATGTTTGTAATCTGAAAAGATTATTAATGTAATCGTTGGTGTGATTTCAATAGATGAGGGTCGTTTGATTCATAGAAGAGGTGCTAAATGATTGATTAGGTAGGTGGGAAGAGTTGTGAATGAGGATTATTGATATTGGTTAGTTATTGCGTAATTAGTTGAAATGCTTTAATTATGAATGAACGAATGTATATCACAAGATTCATGCGTGCGATTTACTTTCCTTTCATCTCGTTCACACAACGAACTCAGTCCATGTTAACTATTATATGTGTGATTTAGGAACTCATTTTATGCTATGTACTATTGTTTACTATGCTCATTTATGCATCTTATCTGCACTGAATCTGCAATATCACACATATCTCTGTAGAGCGGAACACATAATGCAAATCAAACATTCATCATAACTGTCAGATTTCGGTGACTTTAACGAATGGATTGGGTTGATTACAGGGTTCAGTTAACACTTTATTTCGCCGCCTAAGCTTTTTTTCTTCTTTCGCAGGATGTCAAAAAATTTTTGTTATTTTCGGCAACATCTCAAAAACTTGGAAAGCATTTTCATAACAAGAACCATAAGAGAGCGATTGCAAAAAATAATTTGCGGCGGCATAAGATTCGATTTGATCTGTTGATTATTCTGGCTCTGAAGTGCTAATAAGTTCTCATATGTTACCGATTTTGCAAATTATTTTTAAGCGAAAGAGTGTGTTACAAGCGAATGGAAGCAAAACATGATGAGACACTGATAATAGTACAGTTATGCCACTTTTCGTTTGCTTCATCATAGAAGGCTCATGGAAGTAATCGAAAGTGCTGCATTTTACGCTTACTTCCCACTCAAATAATTCACATGATTCATTATTAATGCGTCGAATAACTTAGCGCTTTACAGCATGATTATGCTAATAGAAACAGATTACTTGCATTTGCGACACTTTGCGAGTTCAAAGTAACTTCGAGTGATTTTAAGAAGATTCTATCTATCTGAGTAGTATCGCATAGGATGAATAGTATAATGGGGGTTGAATCAACTCTCCATTAGGGTGTATTATAATCTTCCTCGGTTATAGTTGATCACATGCAATGGCGATAAATTAAATAAATTATTCAAATGTGACTCTATTGAGGTGTGTGATTTGAGTGAAATTATTCAATACACTCACACCAATTACTTCATCTTTTGTCACGCTATCCATTACCAAAATTTCCCATTTATAGTGGATTATGCAGGCATGATGAGTGACTGTTTTGATGGCATAGGGGAGGGGAGTGGGGTGGACTGATCTGATGATAACACTCTGGTTTTATCTCGAGAATGATCTGCCAGATTTTAGAGGGAGAAACTTTTCATATCTGATCCCTTTCTTCGAATGAAATCCAGTCAAGAGCTGCCAATAAGTTCGTTAATTGGTGTGAATTCTCGTAAGTTCTGGAGAAACTGAAAGATGCGTCTAATAATGAGTTGACGAATTTGCATGATTTTTTTCGGGTTACACTAGCCTATTGGATCAGTACGCAGTTACATTATTGCATTACAGTGTTTACATTATGGTGAGTGAAGAGGTTCATTATTCATGCAAAAATCTTGCATGAATCATGGAAAATGAGTGACTGATATAAGCATTGAATGAAACGATTGACATAATCTCTTCATAACGATGATTTGACGATCCCTTCGGAATTCTGGAAAGCCTTATGCTCTTATTATTATTATAATATAAATAATGTTTATAATGAATATGTGTGAATGACACATTTTCAATCGTAAAGGATATTTAGTGGGTCTGATTTTGACATTACTATGTGCACGTTGACATATAAGTTGTGTTTATTTGTTTACGTATGGATATATACAACCTTATGCTTTACATAAAAACACTCAGCAACTGAAACAGTTTAGTATTATTGATATTTTGAAACTTGGATTTTTGCTCTCATGAATAGTTAGCTATTTCTCACTGAAAACTACATTCTGAAATTTCA